CCCAGTCCTGAAACACTGTGATTTGCATAAAAAATGGGATCCTCCTCCTTCTTTTGCGGTTTATACTTTTCGTGCCATAATGTACAGCGTAAAGGATCCAAGCTTTGTTATTCAGGTAACTTTTATCGGTATGTCCGCTATAATTCGAATCGTATATTTCCATTTTTTAATTTTTTCTACCGACAGCCTCATTAATAACTGATGAAGTGCTTACAAAAAAAAGGCAAAAGCGAAAAAGCGAGAAGCTGTAGATGACTAATGGAGAAAAAGCGATTTTCGAACTTAGCCTTTGGAAAGTAGCACTTCTTACTGCATTTTATCAGTTTTTAATTTAACTAATTTTTTTACAATTGTGAAAATAGCAAAGGAGCACTGCAGGCGTTAATAACACATTTGGAAAACATGTCAACTTCGAATGCATCCGTACGCATTGGTATTGCGATTGTTCTGTCCAGTATTGTCTCCGTTGCTGGAACCAGCATTGGCCCGTCATTAATAGGTTGACGTTGTTACGAATTTTTTTTTTTTTTGCAAGAATCGCTTTCCCCTTCATCATCTCGTTCCCTCTTGCTGCCAGTGTGGGTAACAACTTATTTAATGTGTTGCAAGCTTAATACGGTAACTTTTCTTAATACAAGCGTAAGAATGAATCGTATTGTTTGACGCTTGGAAATTCCGCTAAAGTCCTTCCCGTATTATGGTGTCGTGGACACCTAAGACAAGCAAATCTTATTTCCTGAGATATTTTAGTGGGAGAGGGAGATGAAAGTGAATTTATAAATTATGTACTTCTGCAAAAAAAAAAAATGTATTTTAGGCATATTTAATTCTCTATTGAAACATCTACGTCAGTCGGTGGAATTTCAACAGACCAAAGAGTGCCCCTCAGAGGCGCAAGAGAAAATATATCAGGAATCACTGATCAACGCTATGGGTGATTATGCTTACGCGTTGCCCGACTACCAGAAGGTGCATTTTTGGACAACAAAAACTAAAATCATTTTCAATCCGCTCTTCATACAATTTTTAGAGAAGTAATTATCTAAAGCTTTACCAAAAATTGGAACTCGCTTGCTTCATTAAGGTCGAAATTATGCTATTTATATCAGCCAATATTCCGAATCTCGGTAAGGATAGTCGCGTTCTGAAGCCAAGTGACGCTTTTCTTCAACATATTCTCGTCAAAACGCTCCTCAAGGTGAGTTACCGATGATACACTGCCGCTTTTTCCCATCACACTGCTTGCTTTTCAATGTTTTTCACTTAGGCATCGAGTTACAATTATATGTATTCTCACCTGGCATATTTTTGGGCGTGTTTAGCGCATATCTGTAGAGATAGTTTAGAACGATTTTCAAAGCATCTAGGCTTACACATCTATTCTGGCTCTGTATTCTTGATTTTCATTCCTCTGGCACCTTTCATTATCGTCTAAATTATCTCGTTTTCGGCAGTTGACAGCCTTTTTCGTCCTTTTTTTTTGATTTTGAACGGATTAGTTCCAAATAGATCGTCAAATAAGTCCTTTCACCGTTTTAGAGGCCTCAGTTTATTTTTTTTCAACGCATTAGTGCCAACTGGTAATCTGCTTTGATTATCTCTTTTCTCTTATCCATGCCAGATAACTAGCCCAGTTTTTCTTTTTTACATATACTCACACACCAATTTGGGATTGCCACGTGTCACTGAAGATGTGCTGCAATGTGTTGGCGCCAGCCGCGCATGGTTCTGACTAGCTGGATTACAAGCTGAATTTTTAGCAGAATCTTCGTTTAGGTGCAGTTACAACTTTTTTTTTTCTAAAAAATGTCATAATCGAGCAGTTTATTTCGAGCAAAAAAAAGAAACTTGCAGCGTCAATAACTTTCAGGTAGCCACGAAGTATAAAACGGGATTCATGTCAACGATTTTTGCAAACAATTTTCCAAACACCCTCTTGCGACTGGCTGTATCTGCTGATCCAGTCACACGCTTGGATACCCAGAATATCTTTCACACATTGCTGGACAGGTTCGAATTG